GCGAGGCAGCGGCGAGCGCGCGGGACGCGGACGCCGCGAGTTGGACGCAGGGCCGGTGGTGGGTCGCCGGACGGCCACGGAAGACGCGTGTGACGAGGAGGTGCGGGGGCGCGGCCGTGCGGGCGGCGGCGAGCTTGGGCGGACGAGGCGGGCACGGCGGGAGCGAGGGCACAAGCACGGCGACGCGTCGGGCGTGACGGCGGGCATGCGGTCGCGACGGGAGCGAGGGCGTGCATGAGCAGGAGCGGCCGCGGCGGCGAGTTCGCTATGCTTGCTACGTGTTTGAAGAAATGACACGGACGGACGGGTGAAATGGGGTGAAAATGGGGTAAACAGTGCTGTGTGGAGCGAGTTTGTCCGGCCTCTATCCGGCATTTGTTCTCTCTATCTATACTTCATACGGATAAAATCCGGACAAAATGGGATGAGTTTTAGGGTCGTGCGGTGGAGTTGGCCTTAGACCGTTCGTTTCGAGTGCCGTTCACGATGGATCCTCCATGTGAAAAGGTAGGCTGCATATAATGTTTGCTCCGTGACTAGTGCTGCTTCCGTTGCACGTGAAAAAGACGGACCAATGCACATCAAATCAACATAAAATCGCGAAAGTACTTCGCACACGATGCTTTGGTGAACGATACTAGAATGATGCCCAATCCAACTGGCTGGAGTTGTTTAGCCTTGGCTTTGGATGATAGGATTTAACATGTCATCTGTATTTCGTGTGGAAAATGTGATGTGTGAAGCAGTGCTCTAAAAGCGAGCAGCTGCATGTTGTAATTAATAGTATCGGGAACAAAAGATTTTGCATGCGCGTCTGCTCTGCCTTGATCTTGCCGATGCGGTCGACGGGATATAATCCTGGATAAAGGTAGTATGAGTCTATAAACTGATTGCATGATACCACACTTATATTACTACCCACTATGATAATGTGTATGGTGGTAACATAGGCAGGATAATGTGTACATGTTACTCTTAAACTTACTTTTCACTATGGCTAGCCTAATTATGAATAAGTCCCATCTCAACACACATGCATTGGAAAAAGACCCACCACAACATTCAACCATGCATGAAAAAACGTTTTCCATTCAATTATTTTGTTTGTATTCAATAAATATTGTTATAAATATACATAATTAAATATAGTAAGTCATACATATTTTAAAAATTAATTATGATATTATCAATCTAAATTTTTATCAACCGCTTCCCGCATTAAAGCGCAGAGTATCCTTTAGTTTATACATCTCCTATTTCTTAAGGCTATGGCACTTGACAGATTGGCTTGAGCCTGCACCCTTTTTTTTTTGAACTGTTAGCGTGGAGCAACTTGAGTGACGTCAAATCTTTTTGGGATCATTTACTGCACCATGGGCAGGATAGGCGCACCCTCTCACCATGCTCGTTTCGTGGTAGATTTGGTAGAAGAGAAACTCGCTAGTGTTCATAGACAAATCGTCATCACCCACCATCATCTTGGCCCGTATACGAAACGAGGCAGGGCAAGGGCTAAACATTTGGGTAACTATATGTTGGGAGAGTAGGCTTTTTTTTTAACACAGTACATACTTAAGCGCTCATATATAGGCGCATACACTCACTCACTTATCCTATGATGCATACACACATTTTACCCCTATGAGCACATTTGAGAGACTGAGCCGTCATATTATCACATCGCCGAAAATTTTGAAATAGATTCAGGAATAATGCGAGCACCAGGACTTAAATCTGATGTGCCGGGGTAACACTGTCCCTCTAATCATCAAAACCACAGGTTTGTTCACGGGAGAGTAGGCTTTTGTATTGGTTTTTTAGGATGGCTTTTGTATTGTTTTGTTCTCGCCTTCGGTCTGTGAAACTCTCTTCTTAATTGTGGCAAGTATTTTGCCACTTCTCAAAACCAACTCAAATACACACATATATCCCGTGGATAATTGGCATTCGTCAGACCTTATGTCCGTTATCCAACCATACAACTACAAGACATGCTGTGTGCAACGCAGCACATGCGAAAAAAAATCAGCCACTCGTATAGTTGCTGACACAAACGCTTCACCGATCGTACGTGCATGCATGCAGCCGTACCATTATACTACTGCAGCTAGCGAGCACATGCATGCGCCGAACTAACAACAGCCGGTCCGCGCATTTGCAAAGCGCTACAAGCCAATGGGGGAGGCGGTGGCAGGGAAGTGAGCGACGTGGTGGCTGCAGCTAAGCTCCGGCGCCGGTCCCTGCGGCGGCGGCCTGGGGGCGCCGCCGCCGCCGGTGCACCCTGACCCCCTCAGGAAGGCCTTGCAGAGCCCCGTCCAGAACTCGCGGTCCGGCTCGCCGCTCTCCGCCGTCCTCCGCGCGTCCTCGCCCACGCACCCGTCGATGGTGCTGTTGTTGACGAGGCGGTTGGTGAGGTTGAGCAGGATGTCGTTGGTGTACTCCGGGTGGCCCTGGATGCCGAGGGCGTTGTCGCCGACGGCGAACATCTCCACGCGCGTCTTGTCGGAGTAGGCCAGCACCTTGCCACCGGGCGGTACCTCCCACACCTATATCAATCAAGCAAGCGCACCCATAATTGATTAAGACATTCAACCTCATCAAGATAAGTAAACTTACGAACATACTGGAGCGGGCTAGCTGAAGAAATGCAACATCATAGGGTACTATATTTGCAAGTGGCATGGTTTATTGAGTAACACGTCAAAAGTCAAATCCCAACGAGTTGGTGAAAAATATGATTAGATGACACAGCGGCCTACAGCTACATGCATGCATGACAACTTTTAATTACGAAATAGCTCGACGAGCACCGTCAGTTGTCACGTGCAAGTGACATTTTGCCAAAATATATATCAACTGCGCATTGGTATGGCAGGATATTTCAAGAAAACAATTGAGCGTTTAAGCGCCGACGGCTACTACTAGCAGCTAATTAACTACGGAAAATATACCTCGTCTTGGTGAACCTCGATGATGGAGGCGTTCCGGGGTGGCTCCACGGGCAAGAACTCGAAGGGCCATTCCAAATCATCCACGAAGGTCACCTCCTTCACCCCGACGTCCCAGCCGCTGGGCGACCTCCCGACCCTCCCGCCCAGCGCGCGGCACAGGGCCTGGTGGCCGAAGCAGACGCCGAGGACGCGCTTCCCCATGGCGTGGACGGTCCGGAGGAGGAGGCAGAGGCGGCGGACCCAGCACGGGGCGCCGTCGCCGTGGGCATCGTGCGGGCTGCCGCTCACCACGAAGCCGTCGTACAGGCCCAGATCCTCTGCTGCCGGGAACTCGCCGTCGATTACGCGGTAGCAGTCCCACGCCTCGTCGGGTTCGCCGGAGCGGAGGGCGCGGAAGAACACGTTCCGGTACCCGCCGTGCGCCTTCCTGGCGTAGTCCGAGTCGTTCACCGCCAGCAACAGCGCGTAACGCCTGCCCGCGCCCGCCGCCGCCACCGTCATCGGAGCGAGCTGTCGGAACTCGGAAGCAAGCGACGGAGCTATATAGCTAGCTCAGCTGGCACTGGCAAGATAACTGAGGCTACAAGTGTAGGTATACCTGCCACTGCCACTCTGCCAGTGTGCTCTGTTGCGGTGCTATTTATGGAGGCGGAAGACACGGTGTGGCTGAGCCACGAACGTGGAATTGGGTTCGCGTCGCGATCGCTTATGGAAAACGTGGTGGCGATGCCTCGTTATTGAATATTGTACAGATGCTCGCCGTCGATCGAGATGGGCAACGATCGAGCTAGCGAATCGACTCGAAACCGCATCATAGTGGCTACCACCTCTGTCCTAGTTTATTAGTTTCTCTTCATAATTTCTGTTAATTTTTAATCATAATTTAACTAACAAAATATTAATGCATGTCCAAAAATTATATAGTTGGATTCATATTTGAACATGGTTTCCAGTGACATAATTTTTAATGACAAGCATTATTATTTGTTAGTTAAATTCATGGTTAAAATTTAATATTACTAAATACGAAGAGGATCAATAAATCTGCCCACTGGCCATTAGTTTAGTGCTAGTGGTAACTATGGGTGCGTAATCACGTCGACGTCGCGCGCGAGGCCGGCGCGTGTGATTGACACGGAAATGGCAAAACACGAGGCATATAGCTCGGTGGGACTCTGTAGCTTTGGCAGCTCCCCGCGGGAATCACTCAAGCAACATCAGTCAAGGGTCCACGCCTACACCCAATCGACGACTTCTTGGGCGATGGACATGATTGACGGTAGCGGGCAGAAGGAGGACCAAGTCTGTGTCATTTTTTGAAAGGTTTGTGTCATTTTATGTGGGGCTTGGGCTATGTGATCGGAACGAAACGCAAGAAAGCATGGTGAACATGACCGCACGATGCAGCCAGTGAAGTGCACAGTAGATGTGGCGATGGACCTGCCTTCGTCCGAAGAAGAGAATTGTATGAAGAAGGTGAAACTAAAGGTCAAGTAGAAGCCACCAGGTATGCAAGATAATAGGGACTATGGTGTCCTGATCTTTTGATGAGATGATAGTTATCGATTTTTGTGAAGCCGACTTTAACGATCCGCTATGACGTGCAACGCCGTTGCGCCTTAACAACCGCTAAATCAACTTCGAAAGGTTATTGACCACATGAAGAATGATCAACCTGACCACGAAGGTCTAATCCATGCAAGGAATCGAAGAACAGGTAACAAGTAAGAATTATTGATGAAAGTTTGGTCTTGGACATAAACGAAATATATGAAGTTGCAACTATGGATAACTTTTAACTAAACAACTAAATCTAAACAAGCCCTAATAGCTGTATTTATGTGGGGACAAAGGAGGATTTCGTCCAAGACTACTGAGAAATTGCTTATACGGGAGCTCTCTCACTAGTGGCGGGCAGGGTGTCTTGCCACTGGTAATCTTGTAAGATACTAGTGGGGGGCGGACAGGAGCATCCACCACTCATAATATGGTCCTAGATTGCCCATGGGCCAAACTCACCAAGGGCGAGTACTTACTGGCGACGGCCATTGGTATATAAATAGCAGCAGCCCGAACTCTTTTCATGAACTGCTACTAGTAATATGGGCTCCAATTTGACCCAACTAGCTGTGGGGCGAGCCTCATTAGTGGTGGTTCCTTAGGGCTGTATGCCATTGGTATAATATTTTAGTACTTTTTTGGTGGTGGTGTATATTTTTTGTTTGGGTTAATTTGATAAATGCCACTCCAAATCTGGCGATTCCAAGAAATGCCACTGCAATTTCTAAACTTTGAAAAATGCCATTTCATGCCATTTCTAGTGGCATTTTTCGAAATCTGGAGTGGCGTTTCTCAAAGATTGCAAAAATTGCAGTGGCATTTTCAAACTTTGAAAATTACAGTGGCATTTTTATGAATCGTCATAATTGGAGTGGCATTTATATAATTAACCCTTTTTGTTTTTATAGTGTATTATCTATTATGTTTTATGGATTGTATGGAAACTGATTTAAATTTTATAGGTTTCGTTATTTGCTATATTTTAGGCATTTTATGAACAAATTTTATTTTATGGGTCTCATGCGGAGCTGTCAAGTCATGCGTGTAGCCGGCAGGTGTTGCATGGTAGCTCTAGCAGAGGTGTCATGTTCTGCATGTTGCTGTTGGATCAAAGGTGGTGCAATAGTGACTGCAGACAAGGCGGTACAGGACACATGTCCTCTGATATCCCGTCCTATAGTATTCTGCTAGCGAGGTGTCAATAGCCAGACAAGTAGTGATGATGGTAGAGGCGGCTTCAACGAAGAGCATGCGAACTGATACGTCTCCAACGTATCTATAATTTTTTATTGTTCCATACTATTATATTATCGGTTTTGGATGTTTTATATGCATTAATATGTTATTTTATATTATTTTTGGGACTAACCTATTAACCTAGAGCCCAGTGCCAGTTTTTTCTTTTTTTCAGTTTCGCAGAAAAGGAATACCAAACGGAGTCCAAACGAAATAAAACCTTCGCGATGATTTTTCTTGGAAATCAAGTTGGAAGAGCCACAAGGCGGCCACAAGGGGAGGGCGTGCCGGGGGGGGGGGGTAAGGCGCGCCCCTGCCTTGTGGGCCCCTCGTGACTCACCTGACCTAATTCTTCGGCCTATATATTCACATATATTCCCAAACCACCAGAAGTATTCACGAAAACACTTTTCCACCGCCGCAACCTTCTGTTCCCGTGAGATCCCATCTAGGGGACTTTTCCGGCATCCTCCCGGAGGGGGATTCGATCACGGAGGGCTTCTACATCAACTCTATTTCCCTTCCGATAAAGCGTGAGTAGTTTACCATAGACCTACGGGTCCATAACTAGTAGCTAGATGACTTCTTATCTCTCTTTGATTCTCAATACCATGTTCTCCTCGATGTTCTTGGAGATCTATCCGATGTAATCTTCTTTTGCGGTGTGTTTGTCGAGATCCGATGAATTGTGGATTTATGATTAGCTTATCTATGAATATTATTTGAATCTTCTCTGAATTCTTTTATGCATGATTTGGTATCTTTGTAATTCTCTTCGAACTATCGGTTTGGTTTGGCCAACTAGATTGGTTTTTCTTGCAGTGTGAGAAGTGCTTAGCTTTGGGTTCAATCTTGCGGTGTCCTTTCCCAGTGACAGTAGGGAAAGAAAGGCACGTATTGTATCGTTGCCATCGAGGATAAAAAGATGGGGTTTAAATCATATTGCTTGAGTTTATTCCTCTACATCATGTCATCTTACTTAATGTATTACTCTGTTCTTCATGAACTTAATACTCTAAATGCAGGCAGGTGTCGGTCGATGTGTGGAGTAATAGTAGTAGATGCAGAATCATTTCGGTCTATTTAACACGGACGTGATGCCTATATTTCATAATCATTGCCTTAGATATCGTCATAACTTTGCGCTTTTCTATCAATTGCTCGATAGTAATTTGTTCACCCACCATATTATTTGCTATCTTGAGAGAAGCCTCTAGTGAAACCTATGGCCCCCGGTTCTATTTTCCATCATATAAGTTTCCGATCTACTATTTTGTAATCTTTTACTTTCCGATCTATAAACCAAAAACCCGAAAATATTTACTTATCGTTTGTTTAGTTTCATCTATCTCTATTAGATCTCACTTTTGCAAGTAACCATGAAGGGATTGACAACCCCTTTATCGTGTTGGGTGCAAGTTGTTTGATTGTTTGTGCAGGTATTGGTGATTTGTGTGTTGTATCCTACTGGATTGATACCTTGGTTCTCTAACTGAGGGAAATACTTATCTCTACTTTGCTGCATCACCCTTTCCTCTTCAAGGGAAAACCAACGCAAACTCAAGAAGTAGCACGAAGAATTTCTGGCGCCGTTGCCGGGGAGATCTACGCCAAGTCAAGACATACCAAGTACCCATCATCGACTTTCATCTCTTGCATTACATTATTCACCATTTGCCGCTCGTTTTCCTCCCCCCACTTCTAAAATGATTTTTGAAAAAAATGCCTTTTTATTCGCCCCTCTTTAGTTCTCTTTCTTGTTTGCTATATTTGCTTGTGTTGCCATGTGCCCTCTATTTGCTTGCATCTTCGCTTGCTAAAAATTTATTGATATGGATCCTCATCCACTTGCTAATCTTTTTAAGAGATCCAATTATGATGAACCAACTGCTAGTGAGTTGAGTGCACTAGATTATCTTTATGAGGTTTTGCTTGAAATTCGTGAATCTGAAAATTGTGATGAAGTGTTGAAAGAAGAAATTTATGAAGTGATTCACGATAGCTCCTTGAATGAAAAGCATGATTGCAATGATATTAGTATAAATTCTATTAATGAAAACTATGTTAATGATATGCAAAACCCTAAGCTTGGGGATGCTAGTTTTGCTATGTCCACTACTTGTTGCAATGATCATGATTGGGGTGATTTTTCTTACAATTTTGAAAATTTATTTAAGTCCCATGATGAATATGAGATTGATAATAATGTTTGCAATAATACTGAAAGTGGGTTTGGAAGAGTGTCAACTTTAGATCCCACATATTTGGTAATATTCAATCTTATGAAGTTCTTGATAAAAGTGGGTTCAGAGAGGTCATGACTTTATTTTATGATAATCCCACTATTTCGGAAGAGTGTCAACTTTGTATACATGTGGATCATGTTGAGAATATTTTATGTGATAGTTATATTGTTGAATTTGATTATGATCCTATATGTAATTATTACGAGAGAGGAAAATATGGTTGTAGAAATTTTCATGTCAATAAATTACCTCTCGTTATGTTGAGATTGCTATTATTTCTTTCTCCTTCCTTGCATATGCTAGTTTTTGCTTGTCCAGATAATTTGTTTGCTTATATAATGCCTATGCATAGGAAGTATGTTAGACTTAGATATGTTTGTCACGTGTTTTATGATGCTCTTTTTGTGCTTCAATTCTTATCTTTCGTGTGAGCATCATTAAAATTAGCAATGCCTAGCT